TTCTAAATCAACTTTGTTCTTTCAAATATATCAAGAAACACATATTATATTATTTTGTGGAAGCAAAAGACTCACCTATTATATTCATATTGGCCATTCATGTACGCTCAGGCGCGGGCGAAGACTCTATAAAGATACCAAACGTCTTCACGACCTCACTCGTCCGACGTCCGAGACGTGTAAGGATGTACAGGTTACGATATCGTATCGATACTCGATGAAACAAGGCAACGTGGCGTGGAGGGGAAGAATACATACAATACATAAATCTCTTGAGAATCAAGCTGTACTCCAAAATGCTGATAGACGAGGAACTAAGAAACTGGGAGCAATGACACAAATGGGTTTAAATTGGTGTGTCCCATGTCTCACCACTTGATATTTAACAAAAGATGTTCATCGATACGTGCCAGACTTCGTAGTGAGAAATGCAAGCCTAGGCTCTATAAGTGACAGTGTGAGGCTTATCAGTATTATTATTATTATTGGTTTTGGGCCTTCATTTGCGCCAGCTCGTCCAGGTTTGATCTATTGTGGTAGCCCTTGTTTTTAGAGTTCACTGCTTAGTCCCGTTGAGTCTATAAATTTCCAGATTCTTTGGAGCGTGATATCTGCTATCTCATCCGGGTGCATGATGTGTCGCCCGAGATGGATACTTTTTTTGCTCATAAGCGGGCCGCATGAGCAAAGAATATGCATGGCCGTTTCTTCTTCTGTATGGCAGAATCTGCACAGAGTTTCCTCGGTCATGTTCGATTTGTGTTTGTTTAGTTTGCAGTGGCCGGTTAGTATTCTAGTCACTGCACAGGCTTTGTATCTTTTGAACTTTAGCAGTTCCTTAGTTACTTTGTTGCTATATCCCTGAATGAGTGCTTTTGAGTGTTTTTGTCCCGATGTAGACTTCCACCACTCAATAGCCTCTTGTTTACAGAGGGCGGTTAGTAGCGTGGTGGCTCGTTGTTTGGTAATACCACAGAACGGTTCTACGCCGATTTGAGGGTTATCGGCTCCATCTCTGGCGAGTTCATCTGCTACTTCGTTTCCTTCTATATTCGAATGTCCTGGTACCCATGTAGGCGTTACTTTGTTGGTATTTCCCAGTGCATTCAGTGTCTCGGTGCATATTTGCACCAATTTTGACGTGTATTCGAAGGATTTTAAGGCCAGCAGTGCTGCTTGGCTGTCTGAGTTGATGTAGATGTGTTGATCCCGGAGCCTCCTTTCCAAGTTTATCTCTGCACATTTGTTTATGGCAAACACTTCGGCTTGGAAGATTGAGGCTTCAGTCCCCATGTTTAGGCTAACTTTGAGCTTAGGCCTCTCTCCGTAGATCCCGCAACCTACATCATTTTCCTTTTTGGATCCGTCCGTGTACCAGACGTGACTACCTTCCTTAAATGACATTTGGCCTTCTAGCCATTTGTCTGTTTGTGGCTTATCAGTAACAAAAGATACAGTTTGAACTCCAGTGTTAAAGTAACAGTTTTAATGACTTTATCAGGTCATTATGAAATGATTTGACACCTTTATTAATCTAGGATAGATACCAAACCATAACATTATAATTTAGAAAAAAAGTCAGTTATCCAATTAATTATGAAACATGTAACTTTCAAACTTCTTTTCTAAATATCCGATGCATTTTCCCCAAAAACGTATTAACACCAATTACCGTTGTCAAATTCGAACACAACATTTAGATAAACCAAATCGAGCATCATCGTATCTTTTATCGATAATCTGTCGATACGAGATAGCAGTCAGCACTAGCGTCCGAGTAGGGCCATTCTGTATTGTTCTCGTGTAATGCCGCAAATATGCAAATGGCTCATTAGCTCGGGTTGTCGTCAACGTATGCTAAGCGTTTTCGGTAGCTCATTCGATCTAAGTTCGCCGGTTTGGTACTGGTGTTACTTGTCGAGTTGTAATGTGTGTATACTTCTTGCAAAGTTGCAACTCACGAAGGCGAGTGAGCTTTACTTGTGTGTGTAGCACATGCACATAACGATAGGGTAATGACAGTAATGATATCACAAATTTAAAAAAACGAACAGTAGCGAGCCACCACACATGTAAAGTTCACTCGCCTTCGTGAATTGCAACAACTATACGCGTTTTACGGGTGATTGCGTTTTGATGGCGCAGTCAAGTTTTCTATGATTGTTTCTTTACACATCATTACGAATAGTTTGTCCATAACGGTATAAAAACACTTGAATTATTTCTCTACTTCCCTCTAATCCAGAAGGCCAGTAAATCCTGGGTAAGATTTGATAAGGTAGAACGGGCAGAACAAAATGTCGCTGCACAAATCGAGCCGATTCCACCGAAACTTAAAAGGGAGAAAAAATATCGTGTGGGCCGACATTAAAGATACAAAATGATAACGCAATTCGCGATCTAAATCATTCAGAAACTATATTGATATCTACTAGTGTAGTCGTACCTTAAAATATTTTTGTATAAACAAAGAATAAACAAAAATAGCACAAAAAGGATTAGTGCACACTTTCAAAGGGAATACGAAATGGGCATGACTAGGATGTACATTGTACAGTCAGCATCAAATAGTTCGTGACACGTGGCCAAAAAGACAACACATTCTGAGAGAAGACCACAAGAGAGGTTTAGATTTGCAATAAAACTTGCAGAAGTAGACTTTCGCAAACTGTCACCGTGTAAATCTGGCAGAAGTTGTACAGTGGTAAACAGCTTGCGGAAGTCAACTTCTGCAAGTTTTATTGCTAGTCTAAGCCTCGCTTTACAAACACGTGTCGCGAACTTTTTGGCCACTTTGGGTGTCACAAACTATTTAACGCTTACTGAACACAGCACAGAACCAGGAACCCGGCTGAATTCACGGGGCAAATGTCAAACTCTCCTATCAAAAAGTTCAAAAATATTGTGTTGTCAATTTTTTGGCCTCTTTGGGTTGGGCGTCACGATTTCGATAAATGCATTTATTCGTACAGTTATTAAAATGCTTCTATAAGTTTTTTACTAGGTACACTCAGCGTCAAATAGTTCGTGACACCCAGTGGCCAAAAAGTTGACAATATATTCTTAACACTTTTTGGCTACTTTGGGTGTCACAAACTATTTGACGCTAACTGTACACACACAGCACAGGAAGCCGGCTGAATTCACGGAGCAAACGTCAAACTCTCCTATAGTCTGAATTAATAATGCAGCGTGGACTTCCCCTTATGCTGAGCGTTTTCCTCGTAGCATAATAGATTAGCGTTTTATCTGATTGTCAAAAGCTTAATCATTTATTCCTTTTCTTCTATGTAAATGTAGATGAATACGGCAAAAGAAAGCCATTCTTTCTTGGAGTCCAAGAAATAATGGCTTACTTGGACTCCTGGACTACTTGGACACCAGTCACCGGCTTACATTCAAGGTGTTCTCATTACAACTCAGGTCTAGATTCAATAATGTCTGTGATTGGTGGAATATCAAATAATTTTTATCGCAGTCTTTGGAAAAAGGAACATGGGCGCGACAGACTTTCTGTGACGGAATGAAATTCACGAGGGAAATGCCAGAGGAAAAAATTAATAGATTCATACTTGAGTTTGTTTATAACATGCACAAGCATAAAGTAAGAACCTGAAAGTTATTTGTTTGTGACTTGTATCAGGGTAATCTTTCACTATAATCTTTTCTGAATCCGGGTATATTTTACAAGATTTTTTAACATAATAACTTGTTTAATCATGATCTAGTGGATAAATAATATGCCTTTCTCAACTTTAACATTGTCTGACTTCAAAGAAATAGGTATGTTTCTCTCTGCAGAGACCACATTAAGCCTGCCCAATAGAGCTGGTCAGAACTACGCCGACAACAAAACCTAGTTCTTAATAAATCCAACAGGAACAGAACTAATGATTCATACTCATCATTACTTTTTGATAGATCCTAAATTGGCTAATTAACTGTTAATTACTTAATTAAATGTCATCAACGCTCTTTTTTCCTTCCTCGTAGTATCTAAAAGGCCCTGAAGTATCTAAAAACAGAATGTTCACTGAAGAATGATCGCGAGAATAAAGAAAGGACATTGTCAGAAACCGCCTAAAAAACCGCCCAAAAACATTAACCCATCATAATTATTTTCTAATTTTTTTAATACATTAAGCACCCTTTCATTCTAATGGACACTTAAGCATTGAAAAATTAAATAAATAAGTATTTTAACGTTTATTCTATAATACTATTACAACTTCCGGACGTTTTGGTGCGTGGCATGGTCTAAAACCTATCAAGTTCCATAATTTTTGCCGATAAAATCTGTACGAGGCATTACCGTACTTTATTGCTGGGAGTCCATGTATAGTGATGTTCCTGCGGCCATCATAGACAATAAAATATCGATTTTGAAAATAAAATAAATCGATTAAACTGCTTTGAAGACTAAGATTCGCGAGAATGCTCATTTGATCGAAAAGAGTGTTAAAGCTATCAGAATCCCACGTACCTCGTTTCATCCGTTTTGAATCTCGCCGGGGTCCGAGTTTCTCCGGTATCCGACGCTCTGGGTCCACCTGCTCGTCGTCCGGAAGACACTCGTCCCCTTTTGCGCCAACCACCATCACGTACATGTCGTTCGTGGTCACACACGCGCGGTCAATTGCACTTTTTAATTTTAAACTTAGTATAAGAACCTTGAGAAATAAATTATTTCAGTAAAAATCTGAGCAGAGTTTCTGCTTACGATGTTGCTAGTTTGGAAGTTAAAGACGCTATGAAGAACTCCGAGCAAGCTCGCCCCCAGGTGACTAAAATGGCGGCAAACGGAAGTAAGTCAAATCAATTCCTATTAAATAATTGCGGAAATGACGTCATTTAAGGTATAAAAAGGTAAAAAACTACACCGGAAGTAGACGCATCTCTCACCAGATGCTGTGCATCGTCACATGCCGAATAATAACGATAACAAACATTCAACAAACTATCTACATAGTAGTAAATTACTAATAAATAGCAACATTAATTTGCTGTCACTGTCAGTCTGCCTCAAATTGTCAAAAAATCCTGCCAGGGAGACTGGCACAAATAAATATATAAATAATCAGTTTTAAACTCCAGAATGGATAACAATAAACCATCTCTGAGTCAGTATTTTGGTGATACGGAAGTGCCGCCCGCATCACAGTTTTTTGACGAAATCGGAACCTCTCCTAGTGACATGATACAAAGTGTTTACTTGGGGGACAGTAGTGGTAAGTTTTCATATAAATTTGTCTACTTTTCTTGTAAATAATTACGTTTCCAGTCTTAACTGATAGTGCTAACGAGTGTATCATTTATTCTAGGCAGTCAGCCGTCAGCACCGAATCTGTTCCCACAAAATATGGCGACTTCTTTTTCTCAACTCAGCAGTGCGCAAGAAGTCTCATTTTCTCCTCCTGTGCCGACTGTTAGTGGTTCCACGACTATTTCAACTAAGAGCCTACCTGACCCGTCTACGTTCTTCGACACCATAGGCCCTGAGCCTACTTTAGGGCCGCCTAAAAGTGGCATGACCAATCCTAACATTATAGCTGATGCATTAGATGGTTTAAGCATAAAAGTAAGTGCATTCTATTATTTTTTTTGCTATTATTATAATTTAATTTGACAGTTTTGGGCGTCTGTCTTAATATTATCAGCTTCCTAATAGGTTAATACAGAGTTGATGCATATTATAATACATGTTTTAACAATAGATATTATTTTGTGATAGAATCAACCTATAGACAAAGAAGAAGTTAGAAGAAGGGATGCTTGGATTCCTAATGAAGAAGCCAAAAAGACACTCATGAAGGTAAATAAATGAAATAATAAGTTGTAATTTCCTCCTTGATATTTTAAGTGGCAAATTTTAATTAGTAACATTCCTAGATGTTTTAAATAGCACTTGTATCATTATAATAATTGTTTTAGGCTCAATCATCTCCAAAAGGATCATTCTTCCCGGAGAGGGAAGTCCTAACAATGCCTGGACTGGTGCTAGAAGAAGAATTGGTAAGTTCAACTATTCAATATTGAAAGATAGATGGTAAAAAAGATGGACATGAAAAAATTAGGCCACCTTTGAATTATGAATTTTATTGAGCAGGTACATAGACCATATTAGTTCTATAATAGACCTTTGTTCTGCAGAGGCAGGACAGTCATGCCCAGAGGCAGCTTTACCTATAGTGCAGGCTGTGCATTGCAAACAGGTGTCATAGGATGCACCATTAACTTCTGGCCATGCGCCTTCTAGTATTACTTGATAACTATAGTCCGGTTGCCGAGCACATAGAATTTCGTCCAATGACCCCAGGCTACCCATCCTTATTGCTCGCGCGTAATTATATTGCTGTCGCGACTGTGCGACGGGCGACCGCAGTGAGTGTGCGAGCGCGACAGCAACATTACGCGCGAGCGATAACGATGGGTAGCTTGGGGTCATTGGACGAAATTCTACGTGCTCGGCGACCGGGCTTTAGATGGTGCTAGAGTAATGATTGTTCACAGGCGCTACATGGGCTAGAGGCTGTTCAAAACTTCAAATAGTTTCCTTGTCAATGTGATCTCTTAACAATCCTTCGCAGGCCGACGCGCTCCAAGAGGTAGCGGTAAAGTACCTCGGCGTGAGCTCGGCGGGCGCGCGCGGCGTGGTGCGCGCGGAGCACGTGAGCCGCGACGAGGCCGGGCTGCGCGAGCTGCTGCGGACTGGCTACTTCCGCGCCGCCGTCAACCTCACTGCCGGGCTGCTAGCGGCCGCTGGACAGGGTGAGATAGAGATACACTGCCTTAGAGCGCTAGAGTGAGACCACAATAGGGAGCTGCTGCGGACTGGCTACTTCCGCGCCGCCGTCAACCTCACTGCCGGGCTGCTAGCGGTCGCTGGACAGGGTGAGACCCTTAGGAGACAGGGACACTGCAAGCTGACAGCAGTGGCACAGAGCAAGCTCAACGAGCGCGCTGCATGTGACTTCAGGCAAGTGTCTTTCACGCAAGTATCTATAGGCGCGAGTGTCTGTAGGCGCGAGTGTCTTTAGGCGCTAGTGTCTGTAGGCGCAAGTGTCTGTAGGCGCAAGTGTCTATGGGCGCAAGTGTCTGTAGGCGCAAGTGTCTGTGGGCGCAAGTGTCTGTAGGCGCAAGTGTCTATAGGCGCAAGTGTCTTTCAAGCAAATGTCCATGCGCGCAAGTGTTTCTTTCCGCTCGTGTCTTCGCGCGCCTTCCTCCCAGGCCGCCGCCCTCCAAGAGGTAGCGGTGAAGTACCTCGTTACATCTACCTACACTTCCTTAGAGCGCTAGAGTGAGATCACAATAGGGAGCTGCTGCGGACTGGCTACTTCCGCGCCGCCGTCAACCTGACTGCTGGGCTGCTAGCGGCCGCTGGACAGGGTGAGATAGAGATACACTTCCCATAGGAGACAGGGACACTGCGAGCTAACAGCGGAGTGTCACAGAGTAAACTCAACGGGCGCGCTGCGTGTGACTCAGCCAAGTGTCTTTCGCGCAAGTGTCTATAAGCGCGAGTGTCTGTAGGCGCAAGTGTCCATAGGCGCAAGTGTCTTTTATTCAAGTGTCTTTCGCCCAAGCGTCCGTTCCCGCAAGTGTCTTTCGCTCGAGTGTCTTACGCGCAAGCGTCCATACGCTCAAGTGTCTTTTCGCGCAAGTGTCTTCGCCCCAGTGTCTCTCCGTTCTTGTCTTCGCGCGCCTTCCTCCCAGGCCGCCGCCTCCAAGAGGCAGCAGTAAAGTACCTCGGCGTGAGCTCGGCGGGCGCGCGCGGCGTGGTGCGCGCGGAGCACGTGAGCCGCGACGAGGCCGGGCTGCGCGAGCTGCTGCGGACTGGCTACTTCCGCGCCGCCGTCAACCTCACTGCCGGGCTGCTAGCGGCCGCTGGACAGGGTGAGATAGAGATACACTGCCTTAGAGCGCTAGAGTGAGACCACAATAGGGAGCTGCTGCGGACTGGCTACTTCCGCGCCGCCGTCAACCTCACTGCCGGGCTGCTAGCGGCCGCTGGACAGGGTGAGATAGAGATACACTGCCTTAGAGCGCTAGAGTGAGACCACAATAGGGAGCTGCTGCGGACTGGCTACTTCCGCGCCGCCGTCAACCTCACTGCCGGGCTGCTAGCGGCCGCTGGACAGGGTGAGATAGAGATACACTGCCTTAGAGCGCTAGAGTGAGACCACAATAGGGAGCTGCTGCGGACTGGCTACTTCCGCGCCGCCGTCAACCTCACTGCCGGGCTGCTAGCGGCCGCTGGACAGGGTGAGATAGAGATACACTGCCTTAGAGCGCTAGAGTGAGACCACAATAGGGAGCTGCTGCGGACTGGCTACTTCCGCGCCGCCGTCAACCTCACTGCCGGGCTGCTAGCGGCCGCTGGACAGGGTGAGAGAGACAGCGATACACTCCCTTAGAGCGCTAGAGTGAGACCACAATAGGGAGCTGCTGCGGACTGGCTACTTCCGCGCCGCCGTCAACCTCACTGCCGGGCTGCTAGCGGCCGCTGGACAGGGTGAGAGAGACAGCGGAGCGCTGTTAACTAGAGTGGGATGATACTTTCCTTAGGAGCTCGCTGTGAAACGTGCAACGGGCGCGCTGCATGTGACTCAGGCAAGTGTCTTTCGCGCTTGTGACTTCAATGAGGTGTCTTACGCGCTAGTGTCTTTTGGGCAAGTGTCTTTTGGGCAAGTGTCTTTTGCGCAAGCGTCCGTTTGCGCAAGTGTCTTTCGCGCTAGTGTCTTTTGCGCAAGCAATAGGGAGCTGCTGCGGACTGGCTACTTCCGCGCCGCCGTCAACCTCACTGCCGGGCTGCTAGCGGCCGCTGGACAGGGTGAGCGAGACAGCGATACACTCCCTTAGAGCGCTAGAGTGAGACCACAATAGGGAGCTGCTGCGGACTGGCTACTTCCGCGCCGCCGTCAACCTCACTGCCGGGCTGCTAGCGGACGCTGGACAGGGTGAGCGAGACAGCGGAGCGCTGTTAACTAGAGTGGGATGATACTTTCCTTAGGAGCTCGCTGTGAAACGTGCAACGGGCGCGCTGCATGTGACTCAGGCAAGTGTCTTTCGCGCTTGTGACTTCAATGAGGTGTCTTACGCGCTAGTGTCTTTTGGGCAAGTGTCTTTTGGGCAAGTGTCTTTTGCGCAAGCGTCCGTTTGCGCAAGTGTCTTTCGCGCTAGTGTCTTTTGCGCAAGCAATAGGGAGCTGCTGCGGACTGGCTACTTCCGCGCCGCCGTCAACCTCACTGCTGGGCTGCTAGCGGCCGCTGGACAGGGTGAGACCCATAGGAGGACAGGGACACTGCAAGTTAACAGCAGTGGCACAGAGCAAGCTCAACGGGCGCGCTGTATGTGACTCAGACTAGTGTCTTTCGCGCAAGTGTCTTCGCCCCAGTGTCTTACGCGTAAGCGTCCGTTCCCGCAAGTGTCTTTCGCTCGAGTGTCTTACGCGCAAGCGTCCATACACTCAAGTGTCTTTCACTCAAGTGTCTTTCGCGCAAGCGTCCGTTCCCGCAAGTGTCTTTCGCGCAAGCGTCCGTTCCCGCAAGTGTCTTTCGCACAAGTGTCTTGCAACGGGGCGTCTTAGCTAGCTCAGTCTGACACCCCGCTGTTTAGTACTAAGTCCCNGGTTAAAAGGATTTTAGTAAGACAGTGTTTACAATTTCCTTCGAAATTGGTTTACATTAAGATAAAACTAACTTTTTTATATCACAATAATACTTACTGTTCATGTTATTTTGAATAATATTAAATACTTAATTCATATACAGTAGAACGCCGATTATCCGAACGCCGATTAACCGAATCGCCAATTATCCGAATCGGTCCTAAGCGTAATATAAAAAATTAAAACCAAGTAATTATTGATTTTTTGTTGGAATTCGGATATATTTCAAATTGAGCGTTATTGTAGCAGTTCTACAATAACGCCAAGTAACAATATATCTGTTTGTTAAACTAATTAAAGTTTGTTCTATGTATAACAGTTCGTTTTTCTCTATTACCAGTCTATGTCCGATTATCCGAATTTTCGATTATCCGAATCGACCCCGGTCCCAATTAATTCGGATAATCGGCGCTCTACTGTACTAGTATACTGTGTATGCTCAATAGCGTTATTATTATCAAAATTTGTGTACTGAAATATTGTAGACTTGAAAACTATCTGATACAGTAAACAAAATACTAATCTGAATTCACTTTTCATAAATCTCCACTGTATAAGTTAGAATAACCAAATGTTTATTATGAACTGCTAACACAAAATCCATAACCTTGCTAAAACAATAGTCATCGTTGAATGACACTGATTTCAATGGCATTTTTTTTTTTTTTTTTNGGTAGTAATATGTCAAAATTGTTGGTTCTTAGGCGAACAATGTATGGAGAACGAACATTGTCCTTTGATGTCAATACAGCCTAGATTGGAGTGATTTGAAATTCAGCTGCGTATGCGTCGAAAAATGGACAATGGATATTGTCTCGCTCATCACAACTTCACAAGTAGAGAAAGTGTCATGTGAAATGACTTCGAATTCTAATTCGCACTGATTTAGTCAAGGTGGAATTTTATAAGAAAAAAATCTGGATCAATTTATTACTATTGTTGTATCTTGCGTCATACTTAAAGTATTATTACACTGCACAACAAAATTGCAACTTTTGGCTGATGATTGACTTTCATTACATGATGTTTACTAATTTGACGTCGCTGATTCTGAATCTGCCGTTCATTNTTATCAATCCTTAAACAAACTTAATATGTATGCAAATAATAATGACTTGCATTTTCCGATTCAATTGATACATCCACTATCCAAAGCACGACAGATGAGATAAGATATGTGTCTTTCTTAGTTAGACTATAGCTTTTCTGACTGTACCACGGAAAGTAAAAAGGAGAAGAAAGACAAAACTATACATCAGAATTAAGAAACAAGCATCATGTAGTACAACAGACAGGAATGACGTAATAAAAACTATCATCATTATCATTTATTCAGCCATAGGAGGACGTCCACTGCTGAAAATAGGCCTCCCCCGATGATTTCCATATTGATCAATTGGTAAAAACTATGCCTAAATTATATTCCGCACGTTATCTTACAGCAGTAACAGTGAGAAACCACTCTTATTATCGACATACCTTCTACCCATCTGGATTCTGTGTTCTCCCAGTGAGGATTTATGCCTTTCTAATACCATTAGAAAAGAAGATTTCAATAAGATTGTGATCGAGAGCAAACCAATTTTATATGCACTACCTTAGTAATAAAAGTTACACGCACTTAGCGTTTGGTAAAAACGCTAAGTATTATGCTAACTTAGTACCTAAGCAGACATAATCATCAATTGATTAAAACCAAAATATAAAACACAGCGGATCTCCGCAACATTTTATCGTAATTCATCACACATTATTGTCCTGTACATAGATAGTGTTGATAAAGTATCGCGATGTCATTGACTCCAGGTTATTTGGCGCGGCCATCGCAAACAAAACGCACTTCAGCGTCTTAGTTATAGTATAGTAGGGGCAACGCCAAAAGATGTAACTAATTCGAAGATTAGGAACGGGTCAGTTAGCGTACGTTAACGGTCAAGGTAGAAATACAGGAAGCAGCTGGATGCATACTGCCTAGAATCGCTGAATTTAAAAGAAAGACATGACTAAGACTAGACTCGTCTTATGTATATCAACTAGGGCATGTAATATCGGAAGGTATTCAATTCCGATATTGGATTCCGATATTAGATCTCAATATCGGAATTCCGATATTAATATCGGAATTGAGTTCATATGCTATAAAATTAATTTTTGGTTATATTCGTAAGAATTCTGGATTGTTTACAATAAAATAATGATTATAATCAAAATCTTTAATTTGGTACAAAACAGCACTTCATAATATTGAAGAATTTTAAAACCATTTTTACGTTATGGGTATCTATTGCATTAATTTGTTTTTTTAT